CAGAGTAGATATGATCCAAAAAGTTAAAATTCACACTTGTGTTATCCTTTAAAAACTGCAGTTACAAATGCAAGAAAAAAAATGAAAAACAACAAAAAATGTAATTCAAAAAGAAGAGTATGGAAGAAATGTTGTAAGTGCAGATGGGAATTTACACACTGTTATTGCATTAAGCAATTTTTACTTTGAACATGGGTCTAGGTGGCGAGGGAGGAGAATTGGAAAATATACCAATATTTGTAGTAGCTCATTTCTTTAGTATACAATGATGCTGTTCTCCAGAAGCTGTCAGAGTAATTATGAAGTGAATTCAGTTGTGTTTGGGTTGATTTCTGTTGAAAACACACCATATATTGCAGGCATGTTTCACCATCTTCACTGAGTCTCTCCTTTTTGGACAGGATTTTGGGAAATGCCCTCGGTTGCGTCTGTTTACTCAGGAGTATATTCTGGCTTTGAATGAGCTGAATGCTGGAATGGAGGTGGTGAAGAAGTTTATTCATAGGTTAGTTATATTTAATGCTACGGAGTATCTATAATCCCATATATATATGCTTCCCTGTGATACTTCTCTCAGTCCTGCTCATCTCTTTAGTAGCTGTTGTAGTAGCTGGTGGGTTTTGGTGCTGGTAAACAGCAAATTGCTGAACAGAGCCCATGAGGCAATGTTCCTGAAGTCTTTTTTTAGCTCATTCTCAAATATGGCTGGCACATTCTGCCTATTTACATCCTGGAGGTGAATGGACCTTGCTGTCTGTACATTCCTTTTATGCATTTAGAATCTGAGTCGCTACAGAGAGATTCCTGTTAACTTTAGGCCATGTAGTGCTCAGTCATGTGTGAGGTTTCATGGGAACTGTTGAGATGCAGCATTAAATAAACTAAGGACACGTCTTAGTCTTAAACAGGGCGGTGTGGTGGGGATTTACAGAGTTAAATCAACCCTCTGTTTGGTGCTCCTTGAAGATTCCCCAAGGCTGTCTATCCTGTTCTGGCACCCCATTCTGTCTGACTGTTTTTACCCACAGAAATTTTCATCACAGTGATGTCATCTTGGTTTTTGTTTTTCAGCATGCATGGTCCAACTGGACAGTGCCCCCATCCCAGGGTCCTGCCAAATCTTGTAGCTGTCTGCTTAGCAGCCATTTATTCGTGTTACGAGGAATTTATCAACAGGTCAGTATGAATTCTCAGCTGACCACATGTTACTCACTCCTGAGCCCGTGGTGTCAGAGCCTTCATTCAGGCTGTAAACAGGATCTCTGTGCACATGGGTATGGGTATGTGAGCACGTATTCCTTCTTGCTCTGCTCATTGCTGGCATTACATTTTGGTGTTCTGTTCAGTTATGCAATTATGTGTGTGCTTCGTAGACAAGTGACTATATTTGTTAAGCTTTTGTGTTTGTAAACCTGGAGGACCAGAGGACATTGAATCTCTTTGATCACTTCTACTCACTGTGGTGTGTTTTGAGGGATTGACTATGGCATATTATCACTACACATTGCTGGTGATCTGAGGAGCTCAGCAGTTCCCACCTCTTCAGTACTACAAGCTGTAGTAACTTCTAGGATTAGTATCACCACCCAGCTGCCTGCTGATCTTGGCCCCTATTCCTTTGAGACACACTGCAGCATAAGTAGCCTTTTTAGAGCAGAAAAAAAATGAGAAAGCTCCACAAGAACTCTGTCTCTGAGAGTTAAGCACTAGCTATTCAGAACAGTGTCAGTTTTAATCCCTTTCTGGCACATGAAATGTGTGTATATCTAAACCAAGGGGAAAGGTGAAATTTTGGAGAAGCAATTGTGTTTAAAACCCAGTGTATCCATAGCTCTGAAGCGGAGCTGCTTTCATGATGCCGTCTCAGTTATTGTGGAAAATTTGATTCCTGACTTGCCACAAAATAGATGCTGCAGTTCTTAACACGTGAGCCAATTTCCAATAGACACTGAGGCTTCCCCTCCACTTTGTTTCCTGTTTGTTTAAGCCTATCTGACTTTCTCATGGTGGGGCACAGACAGTGGCTGCTTAGTGTCCAAAAAAATTCCAGACGTGAGGACTGCAGACAAATGTCTGGGCATGTACTGTAGCCAGATACATACTTGGGCATGGATCCTATTACAGCTTTGCACAACTTGGATGGGAAAGTTCACCTTTATACTAGACTGGCGTGTCAATTAGACTGATGAAAAGCTCAAATCTTTGCAGAAAAGGGCCTACAGAACAGTCCTCCCAGAGACTTTTAATATTTTTAATTGATTTCAATAATTAGATTACATGAGAGAAAGCTGTTCAGTGGGCTGGGGTGAAGTACGGTGGGAAATTGCAAAAGATTTTGGCTTCTCAGCGTTGCACGCCCTCTCTCTGCTATTATGTCTGACTACTGAAATTATTTGTTTGTTTTTTAAATTCAGTCGAGACAATTCACCAAGCTTGAAGGAAATTCGGAACGGCTGCCAGCAGCAATGCGACCGAAAGCCGAATCTTCCCCTCCGCCTTCTTCACACGAGTCCTGACCTGGTCTCTCAAGAGGCCACCTTAAGTGAATCCCGGCTCAAGCCAGTCATTGTCACCTCCAATGAGATCCACGTGGAAGTAGAGCGCAACAACACCGCGAATCAGAAGATGACAGCTAATGTGGGCAATGACAGCGAGCCCAACCTGATTGACTGCTTGATGGTCAGTCCTACCTGCAGCACCATGAGCATTGAGCTCAGTACCCAAGCAGACAGGATCCTTGGCTGTTATGTTGAAATACTCAAGATGCTGTGAGTAACTATTTAACAGCTTTTTGAACAGTGTCATCTCGACAGTGGGGGCTTTTCCCATAGGCCTCTCTTCTCCCACATCTGTGACTAGCAAGATGTGCAAACACACGGTTATAAATCTAACTCGATCACTAGAGTCCAGCCTCTGAAAGAGACATCTGGCACTGCCAATATATTCTAAAAATAGTGTTAGGAAGATGAAAACAGAAGGCTTATTTGTACGGTGACCCTCAGGCGTATTACAGAAGATGGAATATTGTTGCCAATGGTTTCTGTTTTGTTGTTAGCCACCATGGGAAATCCATTTGTCCCCTCTTGAGCTGTTGGGATTGCCCAAGACAAAGCTCCAAAAAGCCATGTCTCTTGTAGCTTTTGCAGTGATAAGCAGTTCTGCTCTCCTAACTTTCAGCAGGGATTGGATGAGATCAGTGTCTCTTACCTAGATATTCTCCCTTCACATGTTTGATTCTGGAAGGTTTATGACTTGTTCAGAAGCATAGTGGGTCCTCCAGTTTTATACCCAGTCCATTTAGCACAGTGCAGCCCCCAAGCATAGTGGGTCCTCCATTTTTTTTTGCCCAGTCCATTTAGCACAGTGCAGCCCCTTGGGTACAGTGAAACCTGTATTGGGAAGTGAATGTTCAGACAGCCTTTACAAAATAATAATGGTATTGTATATTATAAGGATCTTGGACTCTGTTATAAATTGTGAGGCTACAATGAGGTAAATGCAAATCTAGATGTTTGCTCTCTAGGGGCTACATGAAGTGCAGTGACCATTACGGAGGAATTTGTGAAAGTTTTGCCCCACATTTTCAGTGTTTTCTAAGTACATAGTACCAATTTCAACATATCCTTTCACTCACTGCTGAGATGGCTTGGAAATACATACATAAGCACACACTCAAAATTGGAGGTAAGGCCTGGCATTCAATCTAAAATACTGGTGTCATTAGATCCTTGGGCAAAAGTTACTGAAGGATCATTTCTTCCTCCCAGTCTAGCCTTCTCTCCCTTTAAAAATGTTTGTATTAGAACAGCACAGCACCTGATTTTGCTTTATCCAATGGCTTCTAGGTCTTTTTGCATCCAGGTACTGCGTTAAGCACATTGTGTATTTATTCCTATCCCCTTGATTCTTGATGCCTTCCATAGACCCCATGAACTCTTGCAGTCTTGATGCTGCATTGGATGCTGACTCATTAAGCATTCACAGTTTTGATTTCATCATACAGCTGACACAAACAGATTCACGAATGAACATGTTCTTCCTCCTAGTCTCTCCAAATTTTAAGAGATCTGCATGCCAGGGTTTAATTCCCAAATAATTTCATGCACAAAGAGCTCTAATTTCACTTGTGATTGCTTTCTTTTTCTAATCAAGGTTTTCAATAGCAAGAGTGAAACTGGGAATCTGTATAGCACAGGTTATAGGTGTGGAGCAGCTCTGAGTCCTTTCACAGCTTGTACAGTGGTAATTCTGCAGAATGAGCCCATGACACATGCAGAGGCCATGACCAAAGGTATTACAAAATCGGTGCAATTCTTCTCAGATTGCCTTACCAGAGAGTCTACACCCTGCTTGAGAAATCACCTCCCCTAAGAAATGAGAACACAGGACAGTTTCTGAGGCAGAGCCATGGCTGGTGTAAATTGTCCTAGCTCCACTGATTTGAATCCCTTCCGTTCCCATTCATCCCTTCTATTCTTGCTGAACCTAAAGCATCAATGTAGAAATGGATTTTCTGAACAAAGACTTTCTGATGCTTTAAAAATTATAACCATACTTTGAAAAAAAAAAGAAGAGCATGTAAATAGGAAAAAAAACATTCAGCTATCTAGGAGCAGAGCTCAACAGGCAACCCCTAAAATAATGTTATTATTAATACCAGTTGTAAGCAAAACATAAATGAGTTGGTTAGCATTGAACTTAATTGTTCTTTTAGGTGTTTGACATCAGCAAAACAAGAGAATCACCTACAGTTATATCTTTTTTACATAATTAACTTAGGGCAGCAGGGAGTAATTTTTTCTAGACATTTTTATTATTCAAGTCTAGCAAATAAGAATTCTTAACAGTGTTTTCAGCAGAGGACATTTATTGTTCAACTAACTCCTACACCATACATACTCTTAAATAAAAACACTCTAATATTGATTAAAATGTATTTGCAATTATTTAGTAATTGCTCTAATATCTCACATTCTATGCAGAAAGCTACATGTGCAGATTTAAATAATCAGACCTGAGGTTCTGCTCTGTGGCTGATACTGTACAATTCAGAATATCTTTGACCCTTTTTCTAATGTAGTTGAGTAACAAAGCACAATTATTGCATTCTAAAGGAAAACATAAATTCGTGGTTTTAAAGAAGTTGGCAGATGACCAACAGTCTGGATACATTTTGAAGGAGACACAGACTCTAGTGGAACATGGTATTTTTTCCTGCACTCAGAGATGGATCCAACTTTTGTGTCAATATTTCGGATGCATTCTTCTGGACTCTGGTAATGTTATTGATGCCAGTTGATGCCTCTTGAATGCTGCAAGACTTAAGTTGGTACTTAGAAAATATACAAAATTAATGGAGAACTTTCTGTTGAGCATATTAAATTAAAGGATCTGGGAGATCCTTAGCACTGTTCAGCTCCTGCCTGCATGTTAATGTTGCCCTGCATTGGAGAATGCCTTGTGCAGTCAAACCTGTGCTTGCCCAGCAGAGCTGTGGTTGGAGAATCTCCTGCTGGGCGAGGAGGGCCCTGCAGCTCTGCTCTCCTGGGCTGCCAGGCCAGGAGCCTTCCGTGCCATTTCCACAGTGCTGATTTGCTTCTTTTTAAAACAAGCAAGCTCAGCTCAAAACAAGGCTGAACATGACACCCAGCTCTCTTACAGATAGCAGATTTGTACTTCAGCTGAGAGAGGGCCTGAGAAGGCCATTTCTCACAGCACCTTTCGCTGAAGCCCTGAGCTCAACACAGTGCAGTGTAATTCAGAGGAGCTCGATCTAGAGAGAGGGAAAGAAGGGGGAAGGAATAAGTGAATATGTTTGGGAGAATTGGCTATATTTTTATTATCTGACAGCAAATGACTTATGTAAGATTAGTTTTTTGACCTTGTCTAGCCTTTCAGTCTAGGGAAACAAGTTATTGTCAAGTAGTTACTTCCAATCTCTATCTTATTCTCTAAACCAAGGAGGACTTGGTGCTTGCAATGACAAGACCAGCAGCTTTCCAAACACAAATGCCTACCGGAGCTTCCCTGCCTCCTCTGCATTCCCCAATAGGTCAGTGGCATACTCCGAATATCCCAAGTGGATTCTCCTATGTCGTGTTTATCCGGGTTGCCCTGGGCTGCTAATATGTTTTGGATTGTTTGTGCCACACATGACATATGGGCAGGTTTTCATTTTGGTGAAAGGTGATCCCTAGGAAGGAAAATGTATTATGTCAACAGGCCAGTAGCAACGATGGCCCGAAGGCAAAATTCGATGTAGTCGGGGATTATTTAATTATTATGGTTGGCTAATATACCGGCCAATGTCCCTAGAAACGTTTCTGGGTGAGCAGAGTGGTGTGAGCAGCAGGTGACCCGCTGGTGGCCTCCGCACGGGCAGCCCCTGACACTCCATCTAACCGGTCCTCGCTTCAGATTTCGAATCACGCCGAAGTCGCGCACAGCGCATACCCTGGGGAATCTCTCTCCTCCTCTGCTTTTATAAGGCCAACCCTGGCATTCAGGTTTTGTGCCTAGCATGGGTGTTCAGTTCAGCACTCTCTGAAGCTCCAAAGGGAATTTTGTCACAGGCCCTTTCCAGAACTCCTCCCGTACCTCCGTGCACCTTCCTTCCTTCTCCTAGCCCGGCCTCTTTGTCTGCCTGGCTGCAGGGTTGTTAACTGTAGCCAGAACTAACCCAGCTCCTATTCTATCCCTGCTTCAAACACTTCTATCTTGTGGTAGAGCTTTGAATGGACTGAAAAAAAAAAATGCCGACTGTTTGAAATGAAAGAAGAGTGCAGAGAACTAAGATGAGCACAGAGAGAGAAGAATACGCTTTTGAAGAGGGAATGGGTGGGAGGAGAAGAAACACCGTAGGCTTTTAATAAGTAGTTTAGTTTTATTCTTGTGCTATGTTTGTTTCACGTTTGCTAGCTCAGATTGAAGGGATTAGAGGTTGTGTAGATTTTACATTCAGGTCCCACTCGTGTATCCAAATTCTATGTATTTCATACAAAAGTATATTATTCCTTTTTTCTTCTTCTAGGAAAATAGAATATGGTTTATTTTCACTGCCCTCTTGCAGAGCTTACTTTGCAAACGGATACAGTACCTAACCCTCAGTTTTAAAAAGCAAAGGGAGAGAGTGATCCTGTCCAGTTCTGTCTGCAGTGTTGCTCTATTAAAAAGCAGCTTTTTTCTTCCTCTCACAATTTCCTTTGAAAGCCAGCCATGAAAAATTGATTGGTTCACATTATTAGTAATCACAACTTTCCAGATTGCTTGAGGAGGAACTTTCGTGCTGTAAAACTTAATCTGAGATGTGAAGAGGAACGAAGCCTCGAAGTGGCTCTTGGCATTTGTGAGGAAGGATTAGTAGGTGCTTTATGCCATGTGGTCTGAAACACCTTTGAATTTTTAACCAAATCTTTTGATATCGGGCTCTCTTCTGTTCAAAATACAGCTCCTGAACTTGTTTGCATTGCATCTAACAACAAAATGTATTGCATTTTGAGTAAAATCAGCTGCTTAGTAGAATTCCAAAGTATAATGTGTGTAGAAAATATAATGTGTGTTCCGAGTCAGACTTCATTGTCCTTTCTCTGAGGAACCCAGGGTGGAGGTCCATGCAGGGCCTCTCCAGGATCCGTATCCAGCTGCACACAGCTGTCACTTGCTGGAAGAAGCTGGGCTGTGATGGGAAGAGTAACTCGAGGCTTGGGCAGAGCATCAATCCAGGCACAACATGACTGTAGAGCAGCCTGTTTTTGGGGTGCAAATGGTAACGAATGGAGCAAACAACATCCTGAGTACAGAGTTTGAGTGCAATATGATGCTCCGAGTCAGACTTCTTGTGGTCTGGGCTATGTTCTCACACCTACCAAACACACTGAAACCCAGATTGTCTGGGTCAGAGACCTCTGGCACTTCTCATGGCTGCGGCTGTTGCTCTGTCTGCCTCGCACAGAGACAGGGTAGGTAAGCAGGAGGCCTCCTAATGAATCTCTCTCTTCTGTTCCTTGTCACTGACCCGTTCAGTTCATCTGTAGGCCAGAAACAACAAATAGCCACACAGTGAGGCTTAGTTAAAAGGTCTGTTAAAGAACTCAGGGAGCTCATCTTAGAGGTGTTTTGTCAGAGTTGTCCTTGACTTAATTCAGTGTATAGGGCAAGCCCCATCTCCACGTGTTTCACAGCATCCACTTCTACGTAGAGACAAGGGAAAAACAAACCCTCCTAAGAAAGCCCTACCTCGTGCCTTGCTTTTCAGAGGCTTTAAATGGAGCTGCTCATCCTCTCATCTCTCTTTGTTTAGTCTCTTGCAGCAGGCAAGGTTTGTTTTGCTGCTGGAAGGAACCTTGTGAATGGGAGATCACAAAGCTCTGGACCTCGAACACACGTCAGGGCTGCTCCTAATTTAGACCAGATTTTTGATAGAGCAGAGAATTAGTCTGAGTGCCTTGCAGAGTGACTGGCATAGGTGGGAGGGTTTCTTTTTTAGATTGCTGTAGCTTGACATGTGATATGCTTTGTGCCTCAAATGCTAAAGATAACGAGAGGAAAATAAACAAGTTGTATTTATCAGGGGCCGTAGCCAAGATTCCCCAATGTTGTTTGTTTGCAATTTTGAAGAGAACCAGCACCAAGATTTTTGCCTGGATTGTGCCATCTTGGTTGCCCGCTTGCCTGCCTTTAAGTTCCTGCCTCGGATCCAAGCTCTTTTATCCTTGTATAACAACTGCAGGTGATGGAAAAGGGAATTTCCCTGAACTCAACACTATTTTGTGCTTCTTGACCTGTTGGCCAGGAGGTTTCAGGAGGTGACTGGAAAGTATGTACTAGGATTAACTGGGAATGTGCTTGTTAAAAGGACAAGACTATTTGCCTGAAGTTACCTACCAAAATTATAGGTCTTTCGTTTTGTCCTTTCTTTTCATTATGCCATACATATGGCAAGGGAAAGAAAATTCTGCATGTTGAACATGGGACTTTTGCATGGAAGTGTGGAAGAACTACTAAGCTGTCCCACAGTTCTTCTGTGTTGCTTTTGTCTGTGCTTTTGTTGTTGCTTTTTAATATATCAGGTGACTCTCGGGTAGTAGAAAGTTCTTGCTGATTGGTTACTTGCATGGGGTGTTATATGTACCTTAGAGTCCCACCACTCTTGGGCAAGTGATAATTCTCTCTCCTGTTGATCTTAAAATCAGGATTTTTTACCTCCTTTTTAAATCTATATGTTTCTTTTTAAAAATATTTATGGACATACTTCGGTATATAAATTTTCTCTGTGTGTCCATGAAGTTGCCTTGGTGAACTGTTCAACATGGTGCATATTAACCTGTCTGTCTTAGTTTATGGAAACTTTTATTTTATCTGGTCCTCGTTCAAAAAGCGGATGAGGTTTTTGGAATTGCAGCCATCTTCAATTTCTCTCTGCTCGAACCTTCTCTTTGCAAAAAAAATACATTATTTTGGAAGGCTTCCTGTGCATATGTTGTCTGTGTCTAATGCTATCAGGAGACACTGTTCATTTTAGAACATTATGCTTTGTTCCTTCCTAAAGAAACATCACGCTCCTGTGCCAAGTTTGCAGTGAAGCTGCAGCCAGTAATGTAGCTTTTAAAACTCCAGTCCAAACGATAAGAGCAGTAAGAGGGGGCCATGGACTCTTCCATGGTATCTTTTCCAGATATCCCAAAGTGTTTGACCCCATGTGAGGTTTGCTGTGTTTAATCCTGTCCATGCTCATTACTCTTCATCAGGGTGAAGGTGGCCTGGCAGGTAGTGCTGGTGTCTGGGCGTTGACTGGTGGGTTCTGTTCACAGTTTTGGTGCTGACTTGCCAAATTCCTCCCTTCCTCCCAGGCACACTGAAGGGCTCCTCATTTCATTCATCTTCTGGTGTTTGTATCCTTTGTGCAGTCTGTTATAACTGCACTTAATTGGTGGTAATTAATAAATGAAATATTTGAGATCCTCTGAAAGAGGAGGGGTCACAGTGTGCTGAGAATCCTGCGTGAGAATAATGTGCTTTGGTGTGTGCAGGACTCGAGTGGCTGTGTCTTAGAAACGGGAGGAGGAAAAGGCTCATGAGTTGTGAGTGTGCACAGTAACGTGTAGGAAAGTTCTGCATAAAGTTCACCAAGAACACCCTCAGATGAATATGTAATTGCTTTATAAATCAAACTGAAGGAATGGATAAGGTATTTGTGGGTCAAAATAGGGGAGGGAGTCTGTTTTAACAAGTGGGCTCACCTCTTATAGGAAAAAAATCCAATTAAATTCAGAGCAGAGCTGTAAATAGTGATGGTCTGGTAATTGCTGTACCAACTTAGATGAAAGTATTACCTAGTTATTAAATGTCAACAGGTTTCATAAACAGCAAATGTCTTTAAGGTGTCATAAAGAAGGCCTCTCTGGAGGTCAAGTGTTTCATTGTAAATACTGGATTTATTGTGCCTCAGTGGAGAATGTGCTGCAAATGGAAAGGGAAAATGTCACCATAGATCTTCAGAATGTCTCAATAAAACAGAGGAGCTGTTGCTGCCTGCAGTAAAAAGCTTTGACTCCTTGAACTAACTGTTGACAAACCCAATTCAGTACATGCTGTGCTGTTAACAAAATGTTCATCTTTCAGGTCAGACTACGATGACTGGAGACCAGCCCTTGCCAGCTTGCTTCAACCTATCCCGTTCCCCAAAGAGTAAGCTTGCACCATCTTAGTATCTACTGGTTGTTCTTGTTACTGTTGGTTTATGGTGAAATACCACGTCAGGTAAAGACTGATGGTTGCAGGAGCTTCGTGTTCCTCCTGTTGCTTAAGAATCTAAATTGGTTTTGGCCAATAGAGAGAAACTTGGGATTTTCTTCATCTTTCTCTTCCTTTTGCATTTTCCTAAGATGATCCTGAAGGGAAAAATGGTTGGCTAGAGACCAACAAGCAGGAAAGAGAGCAGAGTGAGAGATTTAGTGGAGGAGGAGTATGCTTTGCTGGCGTCACAGAGACTCAAATCATTTGTATTTTGCATTAAATGAAGAAGCTACCCTACGGATCAGGCAGACTCCCTCAGAAACCTATTAATGAACAGTAGTGTTTATAAAATGCAGACCTCCATGGGCAAACATTACCACCTGTAATTGTACAATTTGTGAGCTTATCACATCCCCTAATGACCTGGCGTCTTGAATCAGAAAGGTCTAATCCTCTGTGCCAGGTTACCTGGACTACAACAAGAGCTTGGAAAAAGGCAACAGGGGCATCATTTACCTAAGTCAAACTTAGGTCCTGGGAGAGGTACAAACCATACCATGATGCAATGCACTTCACAGAATGACCATTAATTGCTTTACTGATGTATGATGTTAATTAGTTGTGACCGTACCTTAATTGCATTGCAATTAAAGAATTCCATTGGCTCTTGGAGGTAGCCAAAATTCTGCTTGTAATCATGTAGCTGTATTGTAAGTCTTTTATTTAACTTTCTTCTGAGCCAAAGCTCACACTGAGGTTAGTCAGTCTTGTCTAAGACAGGACTAAGGAAGAGCAACAAGATGAATTCCTTGATTAATGGGAGATAATTTTTCCTGTTCATTTTTGGCAAGATTATGCTTTCTATGTCTTGTGAGTTGCACTTAGTTAGGAAATCCTTCTACTGTTTCAAAAGAATTGGGAAAAAGTTTGTTTATTTCCTCTCCCCTCCCCAGATTCTCATACTCTTCTTCTTCTTTAACTTTCAGGGCGCTTGCACATGAGAAATTCACAAAGTAAGTTTGTGGTACTCCTTGTTTTATTGAAGAGGGTGATTACTTAAAGTACTTGTACTAATCAGTAATAGCAATTATGCATTATTCAGTTTGTTTCTCAAATGTTCTATTTGTGAGAGGCTGTGAACATGTTCTGTTAGCAATAAAAATATGTACTTTGGTTTGTAATTTACTGTGGCAATAGGAACCCATAGACTAAAAGGAATGGGCACTGCTGGAATATCGAAACCAGGCTCTTACCACACATCTCTGAAAGCTTTCCTCCTTTAAGTAAGCAGTGTCCTTGATAATGACTTTTAGACCTCCTGCTTCCTTCCTATAGAAGCAGCCCAGTTTGTTTTGCTCTGAAGTGCATACATATATATATATACACTATTTAAAGTATAATCCAGAAGAAGTGACACTTGTTGAATTCTGCATGCAGTAACTGCTTATTCTCTCTCTCTCTTTTTTTTTTTTTCTTTTTTTTCTCTCTCAGGGAGCTGAAATATGTGTATCAGAGATTTGCAGAAGACCCTAGACAAGAAGTGAGTTTGTTTCCAGTTTTTGTAACACGTTAATTGCAGAAATTACACATACATCTGTTCAAAAGATAATTCTTTAAGTAGTTTGTTTCAAAACATGGTGTGGTTTTGTCATTTTTTTTTTATTCTTTTAGGGAATAATATCCATTCAGGACAAATTGTCTTAGTAGAAATAGTTTCTTCCCTTACTTACAAATGTGTCTTGTCTGAGATTGCTTTACTGCTTGTTTTGCAGTAAACTGCAACCAACAAGATTTTCCCATTCTGTTCATTCTCTCCTAACTTTTCGATTTTCTTATGAAAAAGAGAAGCAAAATCTGTGGATCTTACAAAATAGCAGGTTTTATTTAGCTGTGTTTCAGTTATATTGTGTGCAAATGAACGCTAATTCTCATGAATTCATGGAAAATTGATTTTGGGGGTGTCTCACTGGAATGAGTGCATGGCTGTTGTCTCCTGGTGGCTGATGGCTTCATGTATGTAAGTTATTCAATATAATCAGTGCTGACTGAGTCAGAAGGGACTTCACATCCACATTAAGTTCAGTGTCAGCATAAAGGAAAGCAGGTTACCCTGAACGGTGGGTAAGGACACTCACTGCCTTGTCGTCATTGCCCACAATTCCTGATTTTCGTTGTTACGTCTCTGTGAGCCATTCACCCTTGTCAGCTGAACTAAGAGTTCCTGTCTTAGAATAAAACTAGGATTTGATGTATCATGTGTCGCATACCCAAATGCAAGAGCATAAACATTACGTCTCATACGCGTAAAAAAATGAAACAGAACATCCGTGAATCTTAAAAAAAAAAAAAAAAAAGACATTGCTTTTGTAGTATGCAACTAGATATAGAAATCCCTACAGTGAGCAAAATTTAGACTAGTGATGGTACACATAATTGTGTGCACAAATTCTTTTGTGCCACTTCTACCTCGTCTGTCCCTGTTGAATTTTCCTTATTGGTTTCCTTAACCCTGGTGCTTGTCAACTTTTATTAGAGCAGGAATAAGAATAACTTGGCCTGATTAGAATGAGTGAGCCATCATTTGCTACATTAGTATTCGGATCACATCAGAAGTATAGACACATATGCTGGGATGACGAGGGAAAGTGGAGGAAGCTCAGGAATTTCAGTCTTTTTTTATGTTGTTATAATTTTCAAGGGAAGTGAGCTCCTCTAGATTAGAGCCACTCTGTTTGATTTACGTAAAAGGAATGAAAAAGCATATAGCAATGGTATATCCTTGCCTACACAAAAAAACTGATTCTGTGACATACCTACAGCTCCGGAAGCTGCAACATTAAACCTCAGTTTTGAGGAGTTCTGCTGTTGGGTCTCTGTGTGGGACATGCTAGTGGCTGTTGGCAGGAGCCTTCAGTCTGTTCACGTTGCTTTTTCTCAGGTCCACTCGTGTTTGCTGAGCGTGAGGGCTGGCAAAGACGGCTGGTTCCAGCTCTACAGCCCCGGAGGAGTGGCGTGCGATGACGATGGGGAGCTCTTTGCCAGTATGGTACGTGTCTGCAAGAATGTGAGTTTAGGAACTTCTTTGCAGTAAGTCCCTATTCTATGGCTAGTGATACTTGCTTTTCACAAAAACTGAAACAAAAAAGCAGGAGTTTACCAGAGAATCCAAACTGTTATCTAATCAAATCCATTGAACTAGCTTGCAGTGACAGTTTGATTAACCTGTTAACTCTCTCTTCTCAAACCTTGGCTTGTTGTTTTTATCAGTAATGTAATGCGGCAAACTGGGTGCGTGTGTTTCTTACGTAAACATAAAACACCCTTATAGAATAATAAATGCACCATATTCTTCATGTCTATCCCCACAGTTTTCATTTGTAGGCTACCATGGAAATTGAAAACAATAACAGAACTGTTACTGTTGACAATGGGGTTTACTCTGAAGTGACTTTCATTGGGATCTCACTTCATGCATTTTCATTATTTGACGTTTATAGAGCTTGTATAACTGTCTATACTCTTAGTTTTGCATTGATAAGATATCAGTGAACTAGGTCAGGTACAAAGACAGTTCGATGCAAGGTTGGTTTGTTTTTGCTGATTCAAGCAGAATGTATTTTTAGAAAAATTCTCTAGAACTAAAACATTTCTCTTGACAGCTTTTGTGGTCCAAGATATTTATAGGCATTGGGAGATGCTGTGCATGAGAAAGCACATTGCTAACATACATTAATATGCAGTACTCCATGCCATTTGCAAGGATGTCAATAAATACTTAAAGAGCTGCTAATGACTAACCATAAAGTTTGAAAAACATCCTGTTCTAAGATGGACCTTACATTAATCTTAGTATTTTCCATTGCTCAAGAAAATTTCCAAAGAAGCTGGATGATAACAAATGTATGAAGTGAAATCCTTTTTAGCTTGAAGCTCACTTTATTTTATTTTATTTTATTTTATTTTATTTTATTTTATTTTATTTTATTTTATTTATTTTTCATAAGGCCATCTGATAGAACTTAAGAAACAAAGATTTTGTGTTCCTATAAAGGCCTTGCTGGTGATGAAGCAAGAGCACATGAAGTGCACAGAACTCACTTCACCAGGGAATAGTTTTGATATTTTTAGCTACTTTGAACATAGTCCAGGCAATACTTTAGACCAAGCAGACCAGTGAGTGCGTTTACAGTTTTCTTGTAGAATAGCAGTGATGTGGTTTTCACATAATGGAGCCTGGCTCATGGAAAACTAAAAATTCTCACATGTGGCTCTGCTAGCAAGGTAGTCAAACAGTGGCCTGAAATAAAACAAAACTTTGAGCTAGGAACCAGAAATCTAGTTAATCTCTAGTGCTTGTAATTCGGAAAGGCCATTGACATCCTTTTTATTCGTGAGAAGAAACTGTGTTATATTTAACTCGTATGAGCAGCTTTGCATTTCTGCTGCAGATACTGCAGAGTGATATCACTGCGTGCGTTCTGGAGACATGAGAGTGTCTGCAGAGCATTGCTGTGAACTCAAAGGAGTCCTGCTAAAGAGATGTTCTGAGCATGCCTTTGCTTTTGGTGAAAGCTGAGCAAAACAGAGAGCGAGATAATGCCCCAAGAGCACCAGAGCACATGAAGTCATCCCTGACATGGGGCTCAGGACACCTTTGCCTGGATCGATGGATTTTCTTAAGGCCCTTACCCCTTTTCTGGTCGAATTATTGCTGTTCAGTTTGAGCAGGTGATTTTGTCCCTGCCTTAACCAAGGCCGTTGTTCAGTTAGCAAAATGCCAGCACCGCCGATTTTTACGCAGACATGCAACACATGCAAGCAAGTTTTGCAGCTGGCATTTCCCGGTGAAACCCAATTACAGATGTGAAAGCGGCCTCTCCTGTGGTTCTCCTGGAACAGGGTTCATCCTGTCACCAGGAGTTGGGACCATTGCATGGCTACTCAGGGGATTCCTTGGGAGGCTCCATGAAGCCTCCGTGCTGTCAGCTGAACTCCTTTGTGGAGGAAAACAACCTGATCCCTCAGGCCACCCTAGGCACGACCTGTCTCAGAAAGTCACCTCCAGACAACAGGAAAACTATTGATGGCAGCCATAAAAGTGATGGAGGTTTCCTTTTCTTTAGTTTTCACAGAGCCACAGAATGGTTGAGGTTGGAAAGGACCTCTAGAGATCATCTAGTCCAAACAAGAAATGTAAAACAGCAGTACTTTGGAGTGGGCCTACATGCTTTGTTTCCTTTCTGAGATAAACTGATTGAATTCCATAAATTGATGGAATGAGAGAGTTGAATCAAGAAAAATACACTGAAAAGCAGTGGGAGGAGAACAAGAGGGAATAAACAGGGAGGTGAAGGCACAATGGTGGGACCCTGCTCGCTGGGAAAACCGTGTTTGGACAGACCCTGAGGACAAGCATCTGCTTGGTATTGACAGAAATGGCCTGGCTACAAAGTAGGGACAGCAACAGCTCTCAAATACTGCAGATGCCCGAAGAAAGGACCATGTTTTTCTTCTGATTGCATAACTCAAAATAATTCTACCTCCTTTCAATAGTATTTCACAAAATTACTGAAGAAGTTTTGGAGAAATGTGAAACAAATTAAGGGCATTTCTTTGTAACCTCTAAGACTTCAATAATCTATGAGATTCTGATAGTTTTATCACTCCTAACATGCGTTTTTAACCTCCCTTTACCCTCGGTCCTACTTCTCCTTTTTACCCTCAGGCCTACTTCCACTCTTTCTCTGTAGATATTAAGGGGAATATATGGGAAGATGACTTTACAGTTTGACTTTATGTGCTTTCTACATTATCACTGTCAAGCCACAAAAACAGAAGTAGCAACTTCATTAGCCTAAAACAGAACTTACCATTCTTTAAAGGCAAATTGGACAGAGAGGTTGACATTTCCACTTATATGTGGAAAGCCATGGAATTCATTTGCCTTAATTCAGCTTCCATCATATGTTGGAAATAATTCCTCCTAAAATGCCAGCTCCTAGGATTAATAGACCCACTTTCATATTTTGTAGATCCTCCTTGTATAGGCATGTATACAACTGACTTTAACAATTCATTAAATGTATTTTCCTAGAGTTTTGACATCGTTATAGACTCACCAACAGATGCACCATCTATTTCAAAAGCCAATACCTGAATAATTACAGAAGTGCATTAACCCACCACAGCGGACACCTACAGGGACATTTCTTCCCAAATAAAGATAGATTTGGCAAACCTCTCTGGAGACAAGAGGGTTTAAACTTATTAAAGTAGTTGTTAAAAACTTCTAAGTGAAGGGATCATTCATCAATTACTCCCTGTGTTCACATGACACAGTCCAGTGATCATACAAACCTCCCACTTTTTTGTTGCAAAGTGCCTCTATTTGCCTCTAACACTGTCCCTTCCAAACGTGTATTTCCTAAGCTTACATCTTTTAATCTTCTCTCTCTCTTTCTCAAATAGGTTCATATTTTAATGGGATCCTGCTATAAAACGAAGAAGTTCCTGCTTTCACTGGCTGAAAATAAGCTAGGACCCTGCATGCTGCTGGCTCTGAGGGGTAACCAGACCATGGTAGAGGTAAGGTGTAAGCACGAGCAATCATGTAGATTTATGGGCCATACTAAAAGCTTTTTACTGCCCTTCTTGCAATTAAGTGTAATAGAACTAGGAAGTTCAGCTTGGTGTCAGATCAAGCAATTGAAGATGGAGGTTATTGTCCTCTTGATTAAGTGGACTGGAATATTTTTGCTCAAGAGATAAGAGTTTAAAACATAAGAAAGGTGAGCGCAGGTCTTTTTGGAGACAGACATTTTTTGCTATGGGTCAGTTGGAGACACTATGATGTTAAGTAACTGTTCACTGAGAAAGCAAAGAACTGCAAAATCAGCAGTACATAAGAAGTGCATTTATTTTAAAGAGGGTTTATGTAATCAATATGCATTTTTAGAGCTTGGGGATAGGTTATCTTTCTTGGATTATCAGTTTATGCATATTATTCTGGGTGCCTAAGAAGTAGGAAGAGTTGCAACATTTCATTAATTTATTTCTCTGCATGATGGTTTAATCTAGTAAATAAAACAGGGTGTGCTACAGAATGTAATGTGGCTTGATTTTTTTTTTTCATTTAAAAGCAATAAAAATTAAGGAGAGAATAAAGTTGTAATCATGTCATCCCACCCTACCTCATCACATGGATATCCTTAACGTGCATTCCGCATGCACAGAAAATCCAGGAACCACTTGGCTCTAATGCTCATGTGCAGGATCCTGAATGTGCCAATCTGCCTGGCGTGCCGGGAAACGCCGGGGCGATTGTGTCCCCTCTGAAGAGGGCTCTGATGTGAATCCATCAGCTGGGGCTGGTACAGAGTAATTGAACCTCTCAGTCAAGAGGAATGAGCACTAACGGAAGACAGGACAGGCAGGCTGGCTTTCGAGAGCAGAGTTTGTTCTTTACCAATAAAAAATTAGTTTCTTGTGCTGGACGTTCAATCAAAGTTGCTAAAAATCCTCTCATCCAGCCTGCATAATGCATGCTCTAAAATGTTAATTAATATACAATAGAATGCCCAGGGTGACTAAATTTTAGGAAGAAACCGAGCACAAGCACTGTAATGACTGCTGTTCCTTATCATTCTGCTGCTAGATTTTATGTTTGATGCTGGAATACAACATCATTGATAATAACGACACCCAGCTCCAGATCATCTCTACCCTGGAGAGCACGGACGTGGGGAAGCGAATGTACGAGCAGCTGTGCGACAGGCAGAGGGAGTTAAAAGAGCTGGTAGGTTGCTCTGCACTGCCCACAAACAGGGGTACAACGGCAGGCAGGCAGGGTGTGAAATTCCCACTTAGCAGCAGCAGGAGAGCAGTATTTAGGGGATCTTCCTACGCATATATCTGCCGTGTGCTGTCGATGGAGGTGTCTGATCCCATAAGTGTTCCTGAATGATATTCCATAGCCTGTTTAGAATCTGTGTAGAAGAATAAAGGTGTAATCTTACTGTCTTAAGGTGTTAAAAGTTGGCTTGCCAGATCCTGCCACCTTTCGACATAGGAGCAGCAAACGGTTCTAGCACTGGCCAGCATTTCCTAGTACTCTGATTTCCACAGCATGTCACTGAGAGGCTCTTTAGGTCAGAGCAAAGGTCTATGAGAAATTGAATTTTCCTCATTTTTAAAGGCAGGATCTACAGTTACAAAATCTGCTGTATTCGTATCATTCTTTTACATAGGCAAATATACCCATGGTCTTTCTCTTCCTTCTATCACTACTTCCCTCCCCCACAAAAAGAATGTGCTTTTTTGAAGTCAAACAAATGATTTTGAGCTGCACAGTCCAGCATTTTATGGCCATTTCTTTAATGTGAAAGGAACCAAATCCTGGCAGCCTGAAGCAGGCAAAATGCTGACCCGTGGCACCAAGACCACTAACTACTCTTAGCAGAGGTCCCCTGGGTAACAGCAGGCCTTTATTTAGCACATACAGAAAAGCCTCTCCGTGCAGAAAAAGTAGGGAAGAGGTGGAAGGTCTGGGAGGGAGTTGTGTAACCAGGGCAGGGTTTGCTCTGGTGAGGAGCTTGCCCTACATCACTTGGTCAGAAACACAGCACAGCGACCTGTGTAACCAAAATGTGTTCTCTCTTACAGCAACGAAAAGGTGGTCCCACAAGGCTAACACTGCCATCCAAGTCAACAGTAAGTTAATTATGTAAATAGAAAAAAAGCTTTGTCTTTTCAGGTTCAAACACTGGATTTCTGATAGCGTGTGGCAGAGTAGTTGGGGTCAGTCAAGAGGGGAGCTGTTCATTTGCTCTGTTACCAAGCCTGGAGTTTACATGTGTGATGGGGCATTTCTGCTCGTAGGCCTGTGCAGCAGTTTCCATTGCCAGTACAAGCATCAGGCTGTCAGATTTATACTGGTGTTTGAATTTGGAATTGGTGGTAGAATTCAGTGGTAGATTTGGAAACTGGATTTTCCTTTTTAAAAAGAGCAGGTTCCAGAATGTCCAGTTCTGTATTCTACACATTGAAATCTGAAAGGCTCTATTGTCAGTACAGTTAAGATCAGCATAAACCCAGACTGACTTCCCTGCAGAAAGAGCTGGGCCGGAGCACAGTTTGGATCTAGAATTTGTAGTGAAAGGCACATTACATTAAAAGGCCCCTCTCCCCCGTGTGTTCTGACAGCGGATCCTCACAGGGATACACCCGCAAAGAGAATTTTTGTGCTGCTGTCCGGGTACGTTTTCCCAGGGTGTGTGGAGCGATGCTGCCACAGGAGCCCTGCTGCTTGCCAGGCAAACAGGAACTTCTCCGTGCGGTTCCCCGTCCCTGTAAACAAGCGGGGTGGCTGTGCAAGCCCTGCTGGTAGCAGCATCAGGAACGCGCCGGCGGTGACTGCAGACTGAGCTGGCGGGTATCTCGCTCATCCATCTGCTCTTTGCTTTCAGGATGCAGACCTGGCCCGCTTGCTCAGCTCCGGATCCTTTGGAAATTTGGAAAATCTCAGCCTGGCCTTTACCAATGTAACCAGTGCTTGTGCTGAGCACCTCATTAAACTGCCTTCGCTCAAGCAGCTGAACCTGTGGTCAACTCAGGTAAGGGCTGTGCAGACTGAAACTCAGAGCAGGAGCAAACGCTGACTAATTCTGAGATTTTGCATTGCGTCAGCGCAAGAAGAGTGTGTGAAGAGACTTGCTTAGAATGAGTTTGTCTCCCTACTATTTTTACATGGTCTTTCTGTGCTCTGGCTGACCTTGGAGACTGATCTTCCCCCCCAGCTTCACCCTGTTTTGTAAAAGGTTGCTGTTGTCCGGGGTTGAATGTTCCAGCTAGGCGTTGTTGGTGCTGTGCATTTTGCAGTGCTGTGCAGTGGTCATCTGAGAGGTGCTTGAGCTCATTTAGGACAAAAAATAATGCCATGCAGCTTATCTAGGCAAGCAGAACACGTGCAGTCGTTGCAATCTGTATAGTGAATTGCCCTGAATGCTGATTAATTAGAACATATGTTTAAAAAAAAGCCAAATAATGAATAAATACAAGGCAACTACAGTAACAATGTAGTTATTTTGTAAGCAAAAAGGGGGCAACTTACCTGAACGAATTATTCAGCAGTTAATTGAAAAAGCTTTGGAGGTTTTTCTTCTCCTATGGTTTCCCTGTTTGTTTTGGTCTCCATGACTCTCCACTGAGTAGGTTTTCCCCATGTACTGTTAGCACTTAGTTGCAGCACTCCCTGAAAATATGGTTGTTCCTAGCACAGCCACAAAAAGCAACACCTTTTTCACTGAAATGTCATGTAAATATTTTGCCATGTTATTACGTCACGTTATATTTTCATAACTACTTTTAAATCATGGAAATTTCTCCCTTTTGTGTGAGGAGTATGAAACAATATGATTGCCTGCTTGTTTTAATCCTGTCTTGCGTATCCTCTAGATTTGTCCCGACAATGTAACTTTTTTGTGCTTGAAAACACTGATGCCTCTTGCTCCAAGTGAGTTGGATACCACTGGACAAGCAGCCTGCTCTTGGCATTAATTTTTTAAAGAAATTTTAGATTCCATTTTATTTTCTGATATCCTAGTTTCCATTAATAAAGAATTTAGAAACAACAGAAATGCAGCGGGTCAATGGAACAATTACCAATCAATAGTACATTGTTCTGGCTAATTAATACCACTTGCAATGAAGGTTTTTTTGTGATGTGGTTGGGAACTGGCTGAGACTTCCATAACCATGTTGTATAGGCTGGGTGGGAGCTCTCTCACACTAAATCCACACTTCAAAGGCACCACGTGTGATTAAACGATGCCTCGTGGTTATGGCACTGGGTTGCAAATCAGGAGACCTGTTTTCAGACCCAGGATCTGCCACACAGTTATTTAGACCCCTGCACAAGTTGCTAAATCTTCCTATCCCTCAGGGATAACACAAGTTGCTTTCTCCCCTGTCGTTTGATATCGTAATAAATGCTGTGAGTGGCTCCGAAGGCTCCTCCGCAGGCCTCGCTGTGAGTGTCCCCTGTTTGCACGGTCTGTGCACCGCGTGCGCTGGGTGAAACCGGCTCTTCTCGCTCCCACAGTTCGGAGACGCGGGGTTGCGGCTCCTGTCCGAGCACCTCACGATGCTGCAAGTGCTCAACTTGTGCGAGACTCCCGTCACCGACGCCGGGCTGCTGGCACTGAGCTGTAAGTGACCAAAATACCCTGCAGAGGAAATTCATGTGGGTCCAGAGGAATTCATGTGGGTTCAAACGGAAGATTGATTTCTTGGCTGCCACAGAACTGCTTCCGCAGTGATCTAGGGCAGGCCACGGCCGTGCTCGGGTTGATCTTCCCTCCTCTCTGCCCGCTCAAGTGGCCGTTCAGCTGCAGGACTGTGCTCTGAACCTACCTGCCTAGTGCAGGGCTTGCGGCCCCGGGCCTTGCTGTGGCCCTTGCCTCTCGCTTCCCCGATGTCATTTGTCTTGGTCTCACATCGATGTCATTTGTCTCGGTCTCACATCGTGCCCTGTTGCCCGGGGACTTCCCAGCTCCTTTCAGACTCAGCCCTGTGGGCGACTTCCCTGCAGAGGGGCCTGTTCTTGTGGTGGAGGAGGGGAAGATTGCAGAGCCGTGCGGTAATTTATTAGTGAGTTTTGCAACCGCGCGCAGCAGGTTTCATATTCTCCCTGGTGTAGTGTGGAGGTGGAGCTTTGTTTTTATTTGGGTTAATACAGGGTCAAATAGGGCAAGGCAAGCGGGGCCGGCGTGGGCCGTGTAGGAGCGCTGCGGATTCCCTGGCGTGCAGGAACGAGCCCCTGTCCTGCGTCCCGCGGCGCGGCGCGAACGTCACACACTGCTTCAGAGGGTGCCTTTAATAGGCTTGAGCTTACGCAGACGTGCCAGACAGGCCAGGACTTACGGCTCGTGTTAGGAAACTGTCCTGCTTACAGGAGCCCAAAATGGAAGTGGGGGTTAGGGAGAGGGGGCTGCTGGACCCGCACGGCCCCTGCTGCAGCAAACGGCCCCGGGGCTGCCCGGCTCGCTGGGATGTGCCGGGAACCCGGGACAAGGAGCCCGAGCTCCTTTGAAGTCAGTGGACTTCAGCATATGCTTCATGGCCCTTCCCAAATAGGGACTTTTTTTCCTGGATGAGGGCCCAAGCAGCTGTTTATCCATTTGTAGTTCTGCATTTTACACTATGCAGCTTTTTCCTGACCGCGCTGCATGTCTTGTTTATGCTTTGGCCTACTGCGAGCCTGATATTTTAAGTAAATATTGCCTGATCATAAATACGTATCTCTGTGTTTTCTTTTAGCCATGAAGAGCCTGTGTAGTTTGAATATGAACAGCACTAAACTTTCAGCGGACACCTACGAAGATCTCAAGGTATTTCTGGTTCTAAGTCAAGTCTACTAAGGAAGGGAAGTAGCTGGTCCAGGATCTGCAGGGGTTTCCACTGCGCCTAGAGTTGGCTTGGACCTCTCTAGGTTCCTTCTGTGGCCCTCACTGGAAGGGTCAGATTTAGTTGCTTGGAAGAGCCTTTAATTGAGCAGCAGGGCAGCAATGGCTGGTTTGGGAATTCCAAGTAAAGATCATGCATTCATGAGGGTCTCACAGAACATCTATAATAAAAGGAAATAGGTTCAAATGTAGGGAAGGAGTGAGGTTACCTTAATGAGTGGGATTCACTGGGAAATGAAAACACCATTTTTAGATGGCTAGCTCTGACAGACTCATGAAGTGTTTAAGCAAATTAATGAAAATGAATGAGATGATGGGAACATTAACTTAAGTTCTTTTTGACCACTACTATCATCAGTGAGGGTTTCATAGATGGAAATGTGTCAGTTGTTTCTGTTTATGATACACAAACCAGGTAGTGCCTAGTTCACACTTCTGGAGACATGTCCTGAGGCATTAATGGCACTAAAGGTAAAATGAATGCAGACTATTACTGCATTTTGGATCAGAAAATTAAAGGCACTGAGGTCGGTGTACATTTGCCTTGATGCCTTTTGGAGCAGAACTCCACTTTGAACAGAAACACCTGCACAAAGGCCTGATTCTCTCTTACATGTGAGATATCTGGTGTTACTGTTTGTGCTGTGAATTTACAACCGCTTCAGTATGAGGGTGTAGCTGTGGCAGGGAACGGTCCCGGGTGGTTTCAGACAAAGTCCCTCTCAGCTGCACGGGCTCTCGTGGCTTCATGCAGACTTCTCCTTCGCTCTGGGGTTGCGTGAGTCACGTGTCTCACATCTCTTACCTTGTAAAAGCAAGTGCTCAAAGTGAAACTCCGCATTATGTCGTCTTCTGTGTTGAAACCTTAGATTGCGCCAGGTTTACTCAAAAAGGTCACAACCTTGGGTTGTGTTTCAAGCTTGAGGCAAGTCCTGAAACTGCTCTTTCAAAACCCACTGCGAATGTATATCTTCAGTTTTTGCTCTGGAGCCAGGGCTCCCCAGGGAGTGCCTTGCAATGCTGCTAAGCAGGGATTTTTCAGAATCGGCTTCTCAAAACTTGTGTCACAATTGTACATGGGCAGAAAAAGTCCTTGGAATTAACAGCTGCCTTGCAGCTGGGTTTCATACAGTGGAGCTCGTCTCAGGCCCCAGGCGCTTGCAGACGGTCCAGGTCAGCTCTGACATCCCCTCAGCCGGGTCGGATGGGATCCTCCGCTCCCGCTCCTGCTTCCGAGCCCCTTGGCCACCAGCTTCAGTCTGAGGCTCGTGTTTTCCTACCTGGTTCCCTGTGCTCTCCTATTGCACTAAGATCCGTTACCACCCGCACAAGGAAGTGCCTTGCCAGGGCAAACAGCGAAACTTGCGAGCAGCGAAGTCCTGACGATTGCCCTGAATTGGAGCCGGGAAGGCCGTTGTGTGTCACGTCTGCTCCTCACGCCCCTTTCAACCAGGTTAATCTTGGCGGCCGTTGCAGCAGAGCTGTGTGTGTGCAGGGAGGTGCGTTCAAAGGGAGGGCGAGAGGTTTTTTTCCTCTGGTGCAGGTGGTTGTGGGTCTGCCGAGAGCAGCTCCGTCCTGGCGGGCGGTTCTGCTGCGGGTTTTGGCTCCTTCCCCCTCGGTGTGCGAGCGCGGGGGGCCGAGGCGGCGGGGACGCTTCCCGCGCGCTGCAGCCCCACCGAACACGCTTGCACACAGACACCCACGTGTGTACCCGGCAGGCTGAACCAGACAATAAACAAACACCCACTTCTGAAGTCATTATTGCCTAACTGAAGAATTATTTGCTGGCAATGTCTGTAGGATTATGACTAGCTCTTATCAAAATATGCGTGCACATAAATCAAGCAGTGAGGTAATAGTGGCTCCTAGAAACTTCCAGCTCCTCAGTTGCGCCCAGCCCAATGGAACGCGTGCGTTTGGTTTGGGAGGTTCGCTCGGACCGTCGCCGTCTGAGGGTGACGAGCAGCAGCGCGGGGAGCCCCGGCCGCTCCGGCCTCGCGGGAAGGTTCGGGAGCAGAACGTGCCATGGGGACGAAACCACCCGGAGATCCAAAGTTACCAACACACTCTGTAGTGTCTTAGTGAACGGGGGGAAGAATGAAGCAATGACACAGTGCGGAGGCTGGAAACAGCTTTGTGTGGCTGACACTGAATCCGAGGCCGCTGCTTTACAGCTGGAGGCTGACAAACAAGCTCTGCTACATGTCTGTGTAAAATCGAAAGTTTGGTACAGATTTGGTGGGAACTTTGTTCTGAGTTGTGAAAACGTGTGACTAATCCTGACCTTTTCCTTCTGCACAGGCTAAACTCCCCAACCTGAAAGAAGTGGATGTTCGCTACACTGAAGCATGGTGAACTCTCCCTGTCTCTGTTTCTCTCTTTTGCTTCTGGACAAGAAGAAAAAGATTTTTAAAACAAACCAGAAAAAAAAAAATCCCCTTTGCTAATACGTGTAGAGCCGTGAGTCCAGGGCCGTGGTGATAGGAGCCGTGGTGTGAGGTAGAGGAGTCGTGTGTGTGTCGGGGTGGGGGGACCGAGCGGGCCTGGACCTTGCCCGATTCTTTCAGCTTTGTAATTTCAGAATGAACATAATTTAAATTGGAAAAAAAAAAAAGGACTTTGTAGCAGCAAGAGGATTATAAAGAGGAAAACAACCACCATTTGTGGATTTTATTTGCCTTTGTGTTTTATGCCGTGCGGAGAAAAAAATTCTATTCATTCATCATTATTTACCTGGGTTTCCATGGCTGGGGACCCATCCAGTAAGAAGTCCTCTTTGACCAGCTTTGCTCCAGTAAAGCAAACTTAGAAATATCAAGAGAAAAAAAAACCAAGATTTTTCACCTCCCCGCCATGTCCTTGCAGTTGTTATACAAAGTAATTTTGTTGTACATAAGATTTACATAATGCACCTATTTAAGAAAATGGTTCACAAATAACAGGTCTGGGACCTGTCTTTTATTTATGAATTGTTAATTCTTTTACCCTTTTTTGCGTATAGTACTGTATAAACTAGTTTGCTGTCCTGTTGTTATTATTATTTTTTTTAAAGGAAATGTCCTTGAAGAATTGCCTTTTAGTAATGCATACTGTATTATAACCCCTCTCTGTCACAACGCTCATTGCATTGTCTTTTTAATTTCAAAATGCCTCAAACATTATCAAATAGGAAGGAAAATGTCTCCCAAGGGTATGGATACTGGGGGAGGGGTGCAGGAATTAATATAAGGCGAATTTCCTTCCAAAGTCTGAAAACTTTCTATAGTCTTTTAAACCATGTTAGCTTTAAACATGGGGATAGGGAAAATGCATTGTTTTATTTTGCCAATGGGATATTCACAAAACTTCAGATTTTGCAAGTCACTTCTCTGTTTACGTCCAATATTTCAAAACGAGGAAACAAGCCCTCCCCCATTTTGTGCATGAGCTTTTTCTCTTCTTTCTCCCCTCTTCCTGCCCTCCCTTTCCCCTGCCTGTCCCTGTGCTCCCTGTTCCGCCTGTTCCTCTGGGACAGCCGCGTCGTGGCCGACCCCATCGCTCTGACCTGTTTGTAAATGTGACTGCCACATTCTCCAGATTTTCTTCCACGACTGCTTAGATGATGATTTTTTTTAAATTGTGGTTTCTTTTATAACTATGCTGTTGACTTTTTTTTTCATAATGAGCCTTCATTGTACAGAGCTGCTTATTTAAAAAAAACAAAAGGCAAAAGATTTGTTTCTGTTTAACACCTTTATTTTATTCTTCAGCACCTCAAGGTTTCACATACAGCCAATGTAATTTTTTATATATAAATATATATATATTTAATCTTACTCAATGGGAGCCAAGCTTTTTTTTTTTTTTTTTTTTTTTTTTTTTTAAACTGTTGCTGTGTAGAAAACCCCTACCCGAATCGTGGGTATTTTTTGTTTTTTTCTTTTTGTAAGGAAATGAAACAAAACTGAGTCTTAACTCACATAGTGTGCCAGGTTCTTTTTCCCATTGGAATCCCAAACTGCAGGAGGATGCAGTATGGGAACTGAAAAAAAATGGAAAAAAAAAAAAGAGTAAAATTATGCCAACATTTTCCTTAGCACTGTTGCTTTTACCAATGGTTTACTACTACTGTTCTGTAGCTGTGTACAAAGAGATGTGAAATAATTTCAGGCAAAAATAAACTGTAAGTGACTATCTTTTAGCTGCGTGCGTGGTACTTCCTTGGAAGGAGACGCTGGGGGTCCTGGTGCCGCGGGGACCTCGCGGGAGGCCCCAGCCCCACGGGCACCGGGAGCCAGGAGGATGATGATGATGATGATGAAGAGGAGGAGGAGGAGAGCCGAGTCCCGCCTGGTTTGATTCCTGGGACGTTGTGGGGGACCTGCTGGTTCCTCAGTGCTCCTCACGTGTCCGCACTGCACGGGAGCCGGAGCAGGTAAGCAGTGGGAATTGGCTTGGAATGGTCCTTGATGCAGCATCAGGAGGGAGCAGGGCAGCCCCTTGGCCCTGGCTGGGGCAGGGCAGAGCCGCCAGGAGGGAGCACGTGGCCGTGTCACCCGCGGCTGCCCCAGCTGGCCCCAGGCCACGCAGGTGCCAGGGGGTTTCACAAGGTCCCTCCGCTGCCCTGGTGCCCTCGGGCTGCCCCGGGAGCAGGAGGCTGCCGTGCCGGGGGAGGCCGGAGGCTGAGGCCGTCCTGGCAGGGCAGCCGGGTGCTCCCTGGTCGATGGGTGCACAGCACGTGTGGGAGCAGGGCCTGGATCCTGGCTAGAAACCTCTTGCAATGAGTGTATTAAATAATCATGACGCTCGTGAAGGGGCCTAGCGTGTGTGCAAACTCTGCCATGAGTCAGTGTGCTGAGTGATACAGCGAGAGCTGCAGCTGCTTCCTTCCTTCTCTGGCATTTTCCATCCTCTGGTGGCTGGGATCACGGGCTCTGTAGTGACCTCATGCCTCAATTACCAGGATTTCTAACCCAGAAAAAAGCTCTTTGAAACTTTCCTTACATCCAGAAGTAATAAGACCATAGTACTGTAATCATCTGCATGTTAAAGGCAATTCTGACCTCTCTGAGCATTTGTAAAACCAACCAGGTGTACTCATTAGAACCTATCAGTCAACTATATTGCTGTCAACTATATTGAAGTTTTAATGATTTTTGCCAACTAAATATAGTACATGCCTCAAAATACTTGTTTTAAGTGGACGTTAACATCCATTTTTTCTCTTTTCTGTTGATTGGTGAATATTTTAAGTCAATATTTGAGATGATCTATTCTCTTTTCTGTTGATTGGGGAATATTTTAAGTCAATATTTGAGATGAGCTACTTTTATTAGTAATAGATCTCAGAATATCCTTTTACCTGGCAATACTAAATATACAGGATTTTTTCCTGCTAATGTGATAGCTGACTTTTTTTTTTGAGGTGATTTCACTTTTATGTTTTGAACCTACTAGATGGAACAAATCCTGTAATGTATTTGTACTTTTAAAATAGGCATTATCAGATTATAAACATATGTACACAAATCTCAGAGTGACCCACTGATCATGAAAGAACCCTGTCAACATAGCAGTGCCAATGTAAATATAAGCCCTTTCTCTACGAATATCTACAAAGATTAAAACAAAGTCAGAATATAACCAGAATAAACCAAATATAATTTATAGCTCATTTTCAGCTCATCATTGGTTGGTGGAGCAGCCTAAATAACTAGTTTGCTGCACAGATCGAGCAGCTGATCCAGGAGCTGTTTTTTCATCGAACCCTGTTCCAGCTAAAGTGTAGTATCAGAGCAATATTCCTAATTTTAACAGGGTAAGTTTTGAAGCTGAAATGTTCACAGCATTAAACGAGATACTTGATCTCGCCCCAGCAAAGGGATGTCTTGGCTGGGGTTTGTGGTTCTGCTCGTGCTCCGAGCAGGGGCTCTGCAGAGCTGCAGCACGCGGAGCGGAGCGCGAAGGCAGGGCCTGCGGGGCAGCTCCGGAGCAGATGTCCCAGCTCCTGGTGCTGCCAACGCTCTGAGAGGGCACGAGCAGCACTGGGGCCGGGGAAGCCCCGTGTCTTGTAGATGTTGTGTTCTGAGTGTGCAGAATTGCTGATTTTTATAAGGTGCTTTGGTATCTGCTGGCTGTAGAGGGACCAGAAAGCAGGTCTGTCTTCTCTATCGATGCCTGCAAAGGCCAGGGAAAGCTGGTAGCTCTGAGGCTATATATAGGTGTGTATATATATATATATATAAGTTAGAATCTAGGCAATGAGATGTATGCAAGAGTGTTCATGCAAGCATCTTTTTCTTAAAGCAGAAGCACAGCTCACTTACTCGACAGGGTCCAGGTACGCACACATGTTCCTCCCCTCTCCACATGATGCACCATCCTCCTTCCAAGGGATGTGCCTTCCTCAAGGTCCCTTTTCCTGAAAGGAAAAGGGAAGCAGCTGTGTATGAACAGTGAGCAGGGCAGAGCTAGGATAAGTGCTGCTGTAACAGAAAAAAGAAAAAGCAAAAGTTTATAAAAATCCCCCCCAAAAGTAAATATAAAGATCCCAGTCAAAGGTAAGGCTGAAGTGGAACTCAGTGACTCGGATACAGAAGCTGAGTGTAAGGGGGCTAAGCAGGACACTGGAGCTCAGCTGCAACACTACTGCTGTGTTTTTAGCTCTATGAAATGCTTGTTTAACATCATAGTGAAGGAGATAACATTTACTATATTCTCCTGTGGAGCAGCATGACCCAGACTTTGCAAGCAGCCCTGTCCGTGCTAAACGCCTCTCCATGGGGAAGTAAAAGGGGCTCCGGGTTATCCCACCCGGAGCAGGGGCTGGCCAAGCACCAGAGCTGGGCACAGGGAC